ATGTTGTCCTGCAGTGCCCTTAACACCTCTTTATTCTTTCTGAGCCTTGTCTCCTTTCCTTGCTCTTTCTGGGTATTTTTTTCTACCTTTTCCTCCAGCTCACTGATCCAATCTTCTGCTTCATCCAGTCTGACTTTGATTCCTTCTACTGTGTTCTTCAGTTCAGAAATTGTATTCTTCACTCACTCTTGGCCCTTGTTGATAGTTTCTATTTCCTTTTCCGTGTTCATATAGTTTTCAGTGAGTTTATTGTAGTTTCCCTGTAGTTTTTGATAATTCTCACTGAGCTCATTAAGCTTCTTGATAACCATTGCTTTGAACTCAATATCTCATAGTTGACTTGCCTCTACTTCATTTAGCATTATTTCTGAGGCTTCCTCCTTTCCTTTCATTTGGGAATTGTTTCTTTGTCTTCCCATTGTTTGTCAGACTCTTCTTATTAACCTCTTCTTCTCAAATGGATTTGTTCTGACTCCCTGGTTTTGTGGTGTCAACTTTTATGGTAGGAGACCTGTGAGATTTGGTGGTGCAATCTCCTTGATCCTCTGAGTTCACTGGTCTTGGACTGTGGTTTATGTTGGCTCTCTGTGTGTCTTTAGGTTTTGATTATTGTTGGTTCTTTTTTTGGTGGGTCCTTCCCTCCAGCTGGTTAACTGAGGGTCACTCTGTCCATCACGTCTTGTATTTTGATGTGCAGGTGTGGACAGTTTATATTGAAGCTGGTTCTTCTGTCTGTACTTAGTTTCAAGGTTTCTCTCCTGCTCTTGTTCAGTTGTTTGTTCTGGGTTATTTCTCCACCATTTAGTTGTATTTTTAGATTAGTTCTGGGTTGAAGCTATTGTGGCTTCCACTTCCTCCTTCATCTTCTTCCATTGTTATCTCTTGGCGGTTCCTTCACTGATGGGTTTCCTCTTCCAGCAGGTGTATTGGTATTCACAGCTCCAATCTACTCTTTTATATGATCAGTTGGAGAGGGAAAGCAAAATGGTTTAAGACAGTGAGAGTGTATTCTATGGTATTTAAAGTACCAACCCGTAGAGAAGAGATAGAAGATCCCTGGGATATGTATAGTGTTAACAGGGATATTTCACCTGCCTAGCCACTTTTTTAGAAAGAGTGGAAAAAAAGATAAAACTCTTGTTAGTTGGCCGGGGGGGGGGGGGGGGTTGTGAGTTGGATCTCAAAAGCAGTGATCTTGTGGGAGGTCAGATTATAAGGTAAAGTGAGTGTAAAGGATAGAAAATAGGTATAGTGTGCAAGAGAGTAGAGTTAACCACCACAGTAATAAATTCAGGAAACAGTGAAATGAGCTAAGATCCAGGAGGAGTGCTGTGTAGTATTTACAATTGCATGGAACAGCAATTATTTACAATAGTAATGGAGCAACAATCATATGACAGCAACTATGTGATCTGAATAACAAGAACAGGATGTAGAGGACCTAGAGTAGTATCCTATTGGAACATAAGTGAGTTGAAAGACAGAAAATTAAAAATATACTATGAAAGAGAGAACAAGGGAAATCAGTTAATGCAATCTAACATACGAAGCAAAGGAGACTAAACAGAAAGAAGATAAATAAAAAAATACTAATAAAATAAAAGATGTAAGAATAATGAAAAATAATAATAATACAAATATACAATAACTTGCAAGTTCTCTGGAGTAGCAAAGTGAAATTTGTCTCATTGTCTCATTTGTTGGGATGACCATTCTTTGGGTCTGACTCTGGTTCTTTCACAGCTCCAGGTTTTATTGTCTCACTTGTGGAAATTAAAAAAAAAGAAAAAACAATAATAAAAGGAAAGAAAGAAGAAGAAATAAAAAATAAAGAAGGAAAGAAAGGAAGAAGTAATTGAAAAAAGAGGCGGGGGGGGGGTGGGGGGGGGGCCTTCTGCTGGCTTTAAACCAGCCAAGCCAGTTCTGCTGGTCTTCTTGGCTGCAGCAGGCTGAGCAGGGATTGATTTTGCTTTTCTCCCTTTCTGAGTTGCACTCTTCACAGTTGCCCAGCCTCAAGCCCAGTTCCTCAGCTCACTGCTGGGCTCCCAGAGCCCTTCTACTCCCATCATATGCCTTCAGTCCACCAGTTGCACTGTCCTTGAGGTATACCAATTAGGGGCAACTCACACACCACCTTCTCACTCTTTGCTATCCTAGATGTCAGGGACTCTCAGAATCTTTTCAGGGTAGTTCAGACCCACATTGAGTTAAGTCTTTCTGGAGATTGCTGACTGCCTGAGCTCTGCAGCTCTCCTCTGCCAAGGGTGTCTCCACCTTCCTCTTAGAGAGCCAGTCAGCCCTGCAGGGTTGGGGTGCACCATAGCTGCCACAGCTTCCATGGTGGATGCGGGCATAAGCCTCCTCTGTTGCTGCACCCCAGGCTCTAGGGTTGGGCGTGAGGTGCCTCTGGGTGGCGGAGTCAGGTGTACTCTGTCCCTGAGGCTGCAGGCATGAGTGCTCAGCCTCTGCTGCCATGGGGGCACAGCTTATGTGACTGGGAGGGTAGGGGCACTGGAGGTGGGGTGGCTGCTGCAGGAGGATTCCCCCAAAAGCTGCTGAGTTCCTCTTTTTTTTCTTTTTTCTTTTTGAAAAGTTCCTCCTATTCAAGCCTGCTGCTCCAAACAAGTACCTGGCCTCTCACACTGTCCCATTCTCCAACCAGACGGGACTGACTGGGTCAGGGTCCATCATGGCCCAACTCTTCCCAACCAATGTCCACAGTCTCAGGGGGTGCATGCTGCCCCTGTGTGTTTGCTACTTCATCCTTATTCCCTCCCTGTGACTTCAAGCATCCAGGTCCTTCCTGGTGCTGCTCAAACCTTGTTTGGCAGGGGAGGGAGCCATTGACCTGGGTCTCTCCCAAGAATCCTGCAGCAGAGCCAGCAGGGACTGCGGGCCTGGGGCTGCAGAGGCCCTGGTCCCTGCACTAGTCCCAGGGACCTTATTGTCCTGAAGCACTCTCCTTACTGCCTGATTTTTTCAATGTCCTCTATACTTTTTGGCCTCCAATCTTCATATATGTTGGGTTACCATTGGCTGTTCACTCTGTTCCCCAGAAGATCAGCTAGGTGTTTCACCCATGCACAGGGGAAAGTGGACTCCGCTCCCACCTATCTCGCCACCATCTTCCCCTAAGTCTCTATTTTAGTTTTATTTCAAGTCTCATATTTTAGTCTCCCCTTCTCTTACTCCATTTAGCCTGTTTCCTTCCCTTTCCTATATTCATTTTATTTACTTTTTAATAGTCATTTCCCTAATTTATTTCACATAAGTTTGGATTTTTGCATTTCATTTTAGTGTATAACAGCTTCATTGAGATATTACTCATATACCATACGATTCAACCATTTATTTTTAATGTAATTTTTTTTATTGTTGTTGAAGTACAGTTGTGCCCATTTCCCCCCACCACCACTCTCCCCCACCACAGCAACCCCCAATTCCACCTTTAATCCTACCTCCCTTTGACTTTGTCCATGGATCCTTATACATGTTCCTTGATGACCCTTCCCCTTGTCCTGTGTTATCTCCCTCCTCCTTCCATATGGTTACTGTTATTTTGTTCTTTATTTCATTGTATCTGGTTATATCTTGCTTGTTTGTTTTGTTGATCAGGTTCTACTTATAGGTGAGATCATACGGTATTTGTCTTTCATTACCTGGCTTCTTTCAAACAAGTGCAGACTAATAAAAGATATTATAAAAAAGGGGAAAAGAATGTGAGATGATTAATGAAAAGAAAAATGGTTTTGAGAGGATATATGGAAGATAAATAGTAAGAGTAAGGAAGAGTAAGAAGTATTATGCTTACTTGCAATTTAAATTTAAATTTTTCCTTTCTATGCCTTGTTACTATTCCTAAACAGCAGCCACTGGTCCAGGGGTGAATACCTGAGACACCTCTGTGGATGCAGGAATGGAGCAGAAAGGGCACCTGGACCTAAGTGGGAATACTCAGGCCCCATACCAATGGCCCCTTTTAGGTCGCCCATCAACCAGCAGGATTCCTGGTCCCCTGCCCTCTCTTCTTGATGGGGGAGACTCTCAGGCTGGGAGTTTTGTGAAGGGTGATCTACTCTCTGTTGGGTCTCCCTTGGTTCTTCCCACTGGAGAGGCGAGGACTGCGTGCTCCTCCGAGTTCAAGTGCACAAGGACAGGGGTCTGTGGGGTTTGTGTGTATGGTTGGAGTAGTCTGAGGCCATTTATAAATCAAATTCTAGGGTTCAGAATTAGGGATTCTTTCTTGGCACTCATCTAAGCCATGTGCCTTGATCCAGTTTTTAGCAACAAGAAAGCTGGTATTTTGATGTTCATCTGTCTAACCTTCTATCAGTTGTTTTAAAATTATGTTTTAAAACAGAATACCTGGGGAAAGTGTATACACAGATTTTGAGATTTTTCTCTGTTACTTTCTTCCTTCTGGAATTTCCCCCTCCATAGTTGCCCTGGTTTCTTCCCTGGCTCTGCTAGTCAGAAAAAAAAAGAACTTTCTACCAAAGTTTGGGTCACTCACACAAGCCTGTGGCTGCTCTCAGAGTCAAGACATCGTACACAAGAAACATCTTGTGTTACCTGCATGTCAGGTTCAATTTACCTCTAGTCACCCATGTTTGTTCACTTTCTGGAGTCTCAGGCAGTTATGCTCTGTATACTGTCCAGAGCTTCTAGATGTTTTTTGCAAGCAACAGGTTGGGTAGGAGCTCACATGTATTAATCAGAAGCAGAACTCTCACCCCTACTTGTAAACAAAAAAGAACTGTCCACTCCCAAGTCCAGCCCTGTTCTGGCTCCTGGAGATCCCAGTGGGTCCGGTACCCTGAGTCCACTGCCCACCAAGCTGGAGAGATGCTGCTGTGCATAGCATCAGAGGTACATCTTTATTTGGAGATACACAAACAAGGCTAGATATACTTGGTACTTCTGTGCTCATGGGAGAACAAACATGCCTTCTTAGAGTGGATTTGTTTATAAACAATATAACAGAGTAAATAAATAACATGCCTGGAGAAAAAATGAAATTTATTTTGAATTTCAGTTGCAGTTCATATTAAAACCATTTACACATATGAGACATATAAGTTGTGGCTGAAAGTTAAGATTGTTTTTTATCTATATTAAAGAAGGAGGTCGAGTTATGGTTGTTGAATCTGGTTTTTGCTTTAAGAGCTTATTATGCAACCAAATATTTCAAAGGGATTTGGGTCACAGCCTTCTCTCTACCTCTTTCCTGCTTTAAATTCCCTGTGCATGTAACAAAGGAAGAAAGAGCAGCCAACTGTGTAGAGTGGAGAGTTCAGGTCATTTTTTTAAAAATGTGCAGTATTAATTACATTCTTTTTATTTTAGCCCAAAGGAAGCCCATTAGCATTTCTTCTTTTAAATATAATTTTCTTTCTTTATTTCTTTATTTATTGAATTTAAAGAGTGAGAGAGGAAAACAGCAAGAAAGAGAGTAATCAATTGTTGTTCCATCTATGTATGTAAGCATTGGTTAATTCTGGTATGTGCCCTGATTGGGTATCGAACCTGCGACAATGGTGTATTGGGACAATGTTCAATCAAACTGAGCTACCAGGCTGTTCTAGTGGTGATGAATGCCCTCAGCTTCCATTTGCTTGGATAGGCCTATTTCTCCTATAATTCTACAGGACAGTTTTGCTGGTACTATTCCTCATTAACAGTTCTTTGCTTTTAATATTTTCCAATATCATTCACTCTCTTGACTTGCAAAGTATCCATTGTATTTGACAAATCACTTTTCTATTGCTGTTTTCAAAACTCTCTTTTTGTCTTTAAATTTTGACAGTTTAGCTATATGGGATGTTAGTGCATCCCTTTTCAAGTTGAATCTATGGGGCCTTTGGGCTGAAAGAATATGGCTTTCTGTATCTCTCCCCAAATCTAGAAATTTTCAATCAATATTGCTTTAAATAGACTTTTTATTCCTTTCTTTTTCTTATACATTCCCTTGATAATGTCCTCTAAGTCCTATGGGCAGCCTTTACTCTTTATCATTCTCCTTTGCTCCTCTGACTGGATGATTTCAAATAACCTATCTTCTAGCTCACAGATTCTTTCTGAAACTTAACTGAGCTGCTCTTGAAGCTCTCTATTAAATTCTTCAGTGTAGTCATTGTCTTCTTTAGCTCTAAGATGTCTGTTTCTCCTTTGAGTAGTTTCCTTTTTGTTGCTGAACTCCTAATTTTTGTGTATGCATTGTTTTTTCTTTAAATTTTGTTGACTGTGTGTTCTTATTTTATTTCCTGAATAGCAAACACTTCTGTAAAATTCTTCTCAAATTTCTTCTCCAGTGTAATTCCCAGTAAGAACAAATCTTTGCACTGAAAAAAACCCAACAAAAATAATGACACTTATTATCATTGTCATTAGACACTTTGTAATTTGGAATGGTCGCAACTCTTGCCTAAAACACTTAAATTACATTAACCAGGTTAAGATTAAAAACTCACATGGCTAAGGGTATTTTCTGTGTCTTAAGTGCACAATTGTTTACTATTAACTAGGCAAACATGGAAAAGTGTTACCATATTTGGAGACTTTTACTCATTTAGTGTGGATTCTTTACTTTAGTGATAATTAGAAAAGTAATCCCCAGTGTTTGTAACAATAACATATTACAGATGTCTGAGTACAATCAGCGATATTTCTTTCAAATTGTCACTTGTGTTTCTCTCTGGTGACTCCTGTTAACTATATGGTTCATTTGCATACCAAGGAACCTGGAGTCTGAAATTTCTGAGAAGTTGGATCAATAATATTTGGGAGATGATAAGAAGCACACTATGACTTTAATAAGCACAAATAAGTACAATATGACTTTAGGACACAATTCTCTTCTCACTTTATTTGGAGTAGAGAGGACTCACTGTTTTTAGTGGGCACCTCTTGCCTTTGAAGAGAGGAAAGAACTCTCAGGGGTCTCAAATTTTGGTTGCATGGACTCCTAGGGACTCACTGCTATGCTCTATCTTGAGTTTTAAAAGTCACACACTTTTAGAAATCTTGCTTGTATGAGCTTGTTGTAAGGTGAAATAAACTGTAAAAGTTCTGTACACCAAAAAATGAGGGCAGAGTGGGTAAAAGGAGGCAGAAATGAAAAGGAAGCTGGAGTGACACTTACCTTATTAAATGCCCTGTGATTCTGAAAGATGAGCCGCATGTCCCTCATAAATCCCTCCACATTAGGGTACCACTGCTCACGTAGCTTCTTCCCAATTTCATTCAACATCTTAAGATTTTTCATGCACTCAAAAATCTCTGGTGTCTGTGAAAAAATATTATTATTGAAAGAATTTCTGATACAGCACAATGTCTGCCTTCTGTGCATTCCTGAAAAATCCAGCCAAAGTGCAAGGCAATGATAACAGCAGCTTGTGCTCTCACTCCCATGGGTTTCAGATCACAAATCCCACAAGAGCACATACCAAGGTCAGGTCATATCATGGTAACCTATAATCATGGTTTGCTATTGTTACTCACATAATTATCATGTGACATCTTCTCAGAACAGTCATTGTCTGAATGGCAGTAGATCTCCAAGAGGAGGAACTCACATTTCTGCAAGAGAAGGAACATTTGAATGAAGAGTAACTTAGAATGAATGATCACATCTGTATGCCCAGGCAGAGGCATGGCCACACTAGTTTTCTGGCAGTTTCCTCAAATAGGTCAGGCTCTGAGAAACAGACATGTATTGGTGGAGCAATTTTTTCTGCAAACCAGCCCTTGTGAGACTTCAACGTGGTTGAGACCTGATAAGAAATGCAGACAGCTTTTGGTGCTCTCCCTCTCACCTCTTGATTTTTTGACTTCTCACATGTAAGTGGAAAAAAGAAGCTTTGAGATTCAAATTCAACTCACCAGCTGCTCCTCAGGCCCCATCGGCCTTGCCAGGACCTCAGATTCCTTGTGACACTGCTGACTTCCTGAAGACTTCTTTATCCTGCAGAAGGTGCAACTCCATGGTCTCCTGAGAAGTGTGGGATAAGTGAGCAAAGCAAAGTATCTGGTAACAGCCACCATTCCTATGGCTGCCACAGTTCTCCTTTCGGGAAAGGCTGATGGACACAGACTGAGAATGAAGGGGACACTCCCCAGAGTCTCCAGGTCCCCCTTGTAGGGTCCGAGACAATGACCTTCCTTTCATCAAGTATACCAACTGGGGGGACAGTAGGTGCAGAGTGGTGTCAAGGTGAGTGGTGGGCTCTCCTTTCCCACACTTGAGCTGCTGGGAGCACAAGGAGTCCTGCCTACTGGGCCTGAGTGCTGGAGACTGGACCTTAACCCCTAGGGACCTAGGATCTCAATCAACCAATTGAGAACATGGAAAAAGTTCATGTTTCTTGCCTTTTCTAAATAAGCACAGAACACAATCAGCTGGCTTTCCCACTTCCATAAACAGGAGTCAACACTAGGAAAGTTCTAGAATGGAGAATAGTAGTATGTGGGCAAAAGACTCAGCTACCAGCCTCAGCCTCCCAGAGGAGAGAGGAGAACATACACCCCCTGCTGCCAGCATCTTTCAACAGCTCCTGTGATCACACTGCTGGACCACATACCTCTGTCCCTGCTGTGTCCCCATCAGGACACAAGGAGGAGCCCCCAATGGGGAGTATGCATGGCAGGAGGAAGGGCCCCTAACAGGTGAGAGGGGCCTGCAGTTCACAAACCTCTCAGTCTGCACAGGTGGGAGGTGACAGTCCCCGTGAAATAATCTTGAACAAGTATCACAGCAAAGGAGGTTTTCTCCGTCCCGGCAGATTTTACATACATCTGGTTTTTCAAGCTAGAAGGCAAAACAGTGTACCCATGGTGAGACCCCAGAAGGCCACTGCTATTAGATTCTGGAATGCACAGCCTTTTGCAAACCTGGGAAAACAATTTTGTACTGAGTTGAGATTTCAGAGGAAAAATTATTTGTCTGCAGTGAAGGAAGGACCTATGTACCAGATCACACATGTTTTCCCTATGAAACAAGAGACTCTAACATGGGAAGACTAAAAAACAAAACAAGATTATTTTTATAAAAAATATGAATTATTTATTAACTTACAGATAAAACAAGTCCTGAATTAAGTGTTAAATCCATTTGCCGACAACACAGTGACTAAAACAATTCATAGAAAGGTGGTACATTGAGAAATTAATAAGATGGAATAAACTTCTAAGAAAGCATGCCATCCTGTTTTCTTGTTTGTGGGCTCCCCCATGCATTGAAGGGCTTGACAGGAGTTTCTGGACCATGGTTTGTGGGCTTCGAGGGCCACTGGACGTGTGACCGTGCCTCAAGTTTGGAAAGACCCTGGAAAAAGATGACTGGGTGATGTCAAGAAGGGTGGAGCTCTTTGGCTCTGGAAGCCGCAGAAAGATGCTGCACGACTCAGCTTGGCATGTGAAATGTGGAGGCTCCATCTATGAATGGTCAGGGAGTATGACAACTGCCTTGTTTTGTAAACAGAATGGTGAGCCCCACCACCCCCACAATCAATGAAGCTGGATTTCTTACCAGTTTCAATCTGTGGCCTTAAGCTACATTTAATTTAATTTACAGAAGAGGAAATTTGACAGTATTTGCATCCAAGTCTTGTAGCATAACTCCTACTCATTAAACCCAAATAAATTTATAGAGAAGATATGAATATACACTGTGTTATATATAAACACATGTATTCGTGACAAAGAACTGACCTGTGACTGAGCCCTTTGTTAATGAAGGAAACACAGTGTAAGGACTAATATTAAAGCTCAATGTCAGGTGCTGCTGTGGCATCTGGTAACACTGAGATGGCCTCAGACAACCTATCTGCATGTGCCCCTCCCCACTTTGCTCTCCCAGATAAGGTCCCACAGCTAAACAATGCTCCTAGTCCAGGGACCACCAGTAACCCTGCCCATCCTGGAATGTCAGGTTTCAGTTCTCTGTCAGCCATGGAATCTTTCACACAAGCCAGACACAACCTCCCACAGAAACCAGAGGGCCACCCTACATTCCCCAGCACCTGGTTTTCCAGTTGGTTCCAGAGGGCAACCTTGATGAGGCCTACAGAAGGGGCACTGCCTTCCTTCCTCAGTCATGGAATGTATGAGAATAATAAACACCTGTCCATCCATCTGTCCAGTGACAGATGCCATTACTTGCCATCCCCCAGACTGTCCATTTGACATCCCTCCCTCATCAATGGGATGAAAAGGAGGTGATTAAAACAGGAAGTCAGTCCCTGAAGGCACAGGAAGCCATACAATAGGGAACTCCAACTGTGAAAACTGTGTGAAGCATTCTCTAACACAACCAAAACATAGGCCAGTTCAAAACAATGGGTGGTCCTCAAATTTTCAGGTATGCAAATATTAAAGAACCTCAGAAAAACACAAAAATAAGTGGAGTAAAAGAAAAATTTTAAAATAAATAAATAAAACATGAAGTCAAAATTTTAAAAGATATTCAGCATTTACATATGAGTCAGGAACTATTAAGAAGTATACATGCCCTGGTTGCTTTCCTGGGCCTGCCTGGTGTGAGAATCCAGTTTGAGAACCACTTGAGGGTAGTTCTATCCCAGACACAAACATCCTGACCATCCCCTGGTATTGGAGAAACGCCTACCCTCTTGTGACCATCTGAGGTGACAGAAATGAGAATGGCTTGGGGTCTGGCACACCCACTAATGGGTGCTGGCTGGGAGGGAAGTGGGTCATTGAGGAGCAGGAGGAAACAGGGATGACAGTGTCCAACTTTTTCTACTAATAATATTTTTGGTTATTCTAAACACAAGTGGTATGCCACTGTTACTGTAAAACAGTCGGTAGGAATCCAGAGAGCCTCCCACATTGGCCAAGATGGTGGGAGTAGGAGGTTCTTACACTGAGCATGCATAAAGCTTGCCAGATAATTGGATAGAAAAAAGCCCTCTTCAATCTCACCTATAACTGAAACCTAATCAACAAAAGAAACAAGCAAGCAAAATATAACCAGAGACAGTGAAATTAAGAACAGACTGACAATAACCAGAGGGGAGGTGGGAGGGGAAAATAGGGGGGAAAGGGTTAGGGTTGTCAGGAACATGTATAGAGGATACATGGACAGAACCAGAGGGGTAGGATCAAGGGTGGGAAGTAGGGATGGCAGTAGTGTCGGGGAGTCATGGGGGTGGGGAAATGGAGATAAATGTACTTGAAAAACAATAAAAAATGTGGAAAAGAAATAAAAATAAAAATAATTAAATAAAGTGCACAACAATAAAAAAGAAAAAAAGCCCTGTCCCCCGCACTTACCCCTAATCTTGTGCTAGGTTGGGGGTGGGACGAGGCAAAGGCAGACCCATGTGTCATAGAAATTTAAATGGTGCAGGGGAAGGTGCTAGACCAAAGAGACATGTCAGTCTAACCTGGGGAAAGAAGGAATTGATTCAGAATGAACCCACTCAACGTGCATGAAAATTTGGGAACTTGATTGGTCATTTTGAGAAAGCACCTGGTCTATCCTACACCCTAGGTAATCTATTCCCAGGCAATAAGCTCTCTCTCTCTCTCTTTTTCTCTGGATGTGCACTCACAGATTGGAGTTTCCTGTTCTCTCTGAGGCCATGTGGCCTTAGCAGCCACATTTCCAAGGGCCTCCATGAGGAAGTCAGTCTCCCTCTTATTCATTCTCTCTCTCTCTCTCTCTCTCTCTCTCTCTCTCTCTCTCTCTCTCTCTCTCTCTGTCTGTCTCTCTCTCTCTGTCTCTCTCTCTCTGTCTCTGTCTCTCTCTCTCTGTCTCTGTCTCTGTCTCTCTCTCTCTCTCTCTCTCTTTCCCACCTGGTGGTACACTCACCAGTGTGTTTGCACACTCTCCCCTAGAACTGCCTGACCAAGCGGCCCTACTAGCTGCATAACCCATGGCCATGTGGGCTCTACTCACAGGCTACAGGTGGGAGAAGCTGGGAACATTATTAAACTGCTTGGATGGGGTCTAAGACTACTTAGCAGGCACCTGAGGGCTCCAGTGGAATGTACTCGAAAACAGAACAGGTATTCTGGACACTGGCTTTTGCCTTGGCCTTGCTCAGGACAGTTTCTTGCATGGAAGAAAGAGATGGTCAGTGAGAAAGGAACCTGCCATTTTCCAAGGTCATGTAGCACCTGAAGAAATCCTGTGCCTTTTGCACCACCACCTGCATCACGAATGTGGCCTTTGTAGCAAGATGTAGCTGAACCTCCGTTTTTGTTCAGTTACTCCATCATTCTCCTGGATTTACTCCATTAGCCTCACCATTCTATCTCTTTTCTTTCCAGTCCTTTTCCTCCAACATTTTGAGAGAATCCCCCCAGGTTTCCATCTTTGGCTATTTGGTTGGTGATCAAATCACTCTGAAATCCAGTTACATTGCTATGTCCACAGCTTGCAAATGTCCAGCCTGTCTCCTGCCTTCCTGCACATCCCTGTGCTCACCCAGCATCTCCTCTCAGACCCTTAAAGCACACACCAAACTCATGCAGCCAAAACTTGTCCTAACGCCCACTACATGTTCTTTCTTGGTGCTTCCATTTCATAAAACGTACAACATTGACCACAAGCCTGAGCATCCATCCTGAGTCTATTGTCTTACTTGTGTTCTACATCCTATCTGTCCCTATGCCACACAGTAATTTGTAAGATTCTTTTGATTGCTCCATCATCCATGTAGGGTCCACTTCATGCAGAGGTGCTGAGACCCTAGTGAGTATTTGCACCTTAATACATAAAGAAAAGTGGTTTGTTTCTTAAAGTCTATCCTCTATCTTGGTTGAGTACACAAAGATCAGAACTATGCCTCTTGAAGCAAATGGGAAGAGGAATTTGGATCATAGCTATGTCATCTCTCTCAGTGCAGAAAGGAATAAAAGATGAAAAGTCACTAACTAATAATTATTTTGAATCTTCTTCACTTTTCAGTGAAAATTCTTGTGTTGGGCAAATTTAGATTCAGGTCATTGCATTTTCTTTTAAAAAATATTTATGCATGACAAAGATCAAGACCCAAGGACCATGTTGCCATAGCTCCCGTTCAATTTTCTGGTTGAATCTTGAATCACACTCCGAAATGGGATGGAAACTGCTCCAGCATGGAGGACTGGGGACAATTTCCCTCTCCTCACTTTAGAGACTCACAGATTACCATCATCATTCTCCAGGTCATCATAGTCCCCTTCCCAGAAGAACAAGGGAAATAAAAAACTGTAACCAATGCATAATAATGTTTCATCCTTGATCCTTAATCAACTTAAGGCTCGTTTCTCTTTGTCTCTTTGCTTCTTATGCCAGCTGCACATATGATAGTATGTGAAATGCTAGAGTTCTGGTCCTAATGGAAGAGATTCTGATCAATTGGTCTGCATTGAGGCACAGGCATTGGTACTCTTGTTAAGTCATAGATTGAGTAACTCGTGTAACAGAATTATCTATAAAGTTTTTAAACTGGCTGTCAGGCATGGTGGCCAAGTGGTAAGGGAGTCAGTCTCATACAAAGGTTTAAACAATCATCATGTGTAATTAATAGTTTAGACTGATTGAATCACAATCTCATAGAGAGAGGGATCCAGGCAATGCTACTTTACAAAGGTCTTCAGGTGATTCTAGTGCAGCCTAAGTGGAGATTAGGCCTGAGCCAGTGTGGTTAGTAATGCATGAAAATATTATAAGGCGATGTCTATATGCCTGTAACATCTATCCCAGGAAAGATTATTATTAACATGAGTGAAGGCATTCTTGTTGGAACAGTTGCCTTCTCCTCCCCATGGGCTTGTGGGTACTGGTAGTATGACAGGACCCCCTGGGTCTCCATCTATCACTCAGGGTCCTGGGACCCACACAAGTGTCCAGAGAAGATATCTACCACCTCCTGAAGCTCTTCTAGGGAATCACACTAAAAATAAAAGGAATCCAATATCTTTTGGTACTGCAATTTTTCTTCCAGAAAGTCACCTTTATCTGGCTTCCATCCAAATCCCAAGAAGGCACCTGTCTGACTTTTCATAGGAAATGGACTACTGTGCACTACACTCACATTGTTTGGGTATGTTCAGTGAAATGTCTTGGCCTCCTTCCCTTGAGGCAGCCTCAGCTTATATCTCCAGCCAAGGCAGAGATGTCATACACAGATGTAATCCACTATGAAGTGACCTGAGAAAGGGCCATGTCACTGCCTGCCACTTGGGCACCCTACAATCCCTGCTTCCAGTAATACTTCCATGGTAGACAATGAAGGTGAAACAATCCTTGAGGTCAGGGATATTACTTCAATCTTCCTTATGGGCATCTAGCATTTTTCATGCACTCAACTGTATGTTGAATGAGGAAATAAATGAGTATCATGCCCCTTGGAAAAAAGGGATTACATGCTATTCTTAAGCAAATGTTAGCATATAATAAATTATTATTTTGGTTGAGTAGATAAGATTATTTGAGAACACAGCTGCTGTCAGCAGAAAGCATCAGTGGCCCTCATCAGGAGATAAAAAACTGTCATGTGGTACCAAGTGCCACCCCATGAACTGGGGTTTCCATCAGCAAGAGAATTTTAAGGAGGCAAGAGGAACCACCAGGTAGTAATGTGTGTTGAGATTTACCACTTTGAGTCTCCTCATGGAAAATTGTTCCCTGTTGCTGCAAAGTATTGGAACCATGGAAAAGGATAGACCCACTGTTGGAAGTTGTTAGCTCTTTTTAGGTAATCCAGATAAAGTAACTTTAGACACATGAAGAATAGTAGAGATGTTGCTTTTCAAAGTACTCACTGAATAAAGTATGTTAAATATATTTCATCTCAGTAAACTCAGTGGATGGAAAGTCCCAAAGACTAGTTCCCAATTTGCAGATCATCTGATAATGTCAAGGCCTGGACCTCACATTCCCAGTGCTAGATGAAGTCCCAGTGGCCAGCTCTGTGTAAGCTAATGTAGAATTCTGTGAATGACCTGGGCAGCCATTTCAACCTGAAGTGTGTGAGAATGGCACCTCTCACCTTCCCCTCCTTCTCAAGTTCTCATTCATACCCAAACTTGAAAATACTATCACTTTGCCCTGAAACTACACTTCATATTATGTAAGTGTTTGTTCAGTCTTCTTCCACAGAGGGAGAAACCACTTTCACAGATAGAAAGGAGGCCTGCTCAGCCCCTGAGGCAGACCCAAAGGGGGTGACATCAAAGTAAACAATTTTCCAGGTCAGCCTCTCACCTAAACTACATCCATCTCCCAAGAGTTCCCTCCCCAACTGCACCATCCTTATGAAAAATTTGCCAATAATTTCTGCTTGAAAAAGAATTCTGTATGCCTTTGTATACATTTTATTGAAGGATGAAAGAGTATGTAGGTAATCAGAGAAGAAATATGCTCTTAGTTTCCTCTCTCATGAAGTAGTATATGCTTTCATATCTGTCCCAAAATAGACTGTCTACTATACAGGTTCATCTGGATGATGGGGAGCAAACTTCACTCCATCGAATTTCATTAAATTTAGGAAATAGTAAACTTTACCAAAGAAATCTGGGATTGAGTTGAAGATGACCTTGTGACCTGATTTAAAAAAGTGTTTTTCTGTATTTCATAATCATGTTAACATTACATTTCACACCCTAACAATACCTTTAACTACAAGAGTCTTTTTTGATGGTTCCTTATTTGAACATCTAGTGGTTTAGCATTCACAGGTAACATTGCATACAAACTAATGTTCAATGCAGCAACTCTGAAAAATGCAAAATAAATAAATGAAATAAAGGTAGGAGAGACAAAAAGAGGAAACAATGATAATCACTCAATTGAGAAACCATAAAAAATGTGCAGTACATATAAAATGAGTTAGGTATTAAGAACTAGTATAAAAGGATAATCAACTTTTTTTTCTTGCTGTACATTGTTGGTGGTGTAGGTAGCTTTCCCTCCTGAAAAATAAGAAGATCCAAGTATATGCTTAGCCTATGATAATATTCTGTGAGTCTGGTATTAACCTCCTTGTAAAAATTTCTTCTGGACATCATACTATCAGCTCAGTGGCAAAAAAATCTCTCTCTCCTCACTTGTACTTATTCTAGAATTCATCCATGGAACCCAGAAAATCATTTTCAGAATGTATTTCCTTGCTCGTCTGTTTTTTCCCTAAGTTTTCAAAGGTTTTCAATCACAATTTCTTTGACACCTTTCCATTCCCATCAGTATCACTCAGACCTGCCTCTTCACACCAGGACTATTCAACTGACATACACATGCCCCACACCTACATGGTGTCAGACACATGGATAGTTTTGGGCAGACAAAGGACAAACCCTAGGAGTGTCCAAAGAGACAAAGGGAATGCATGGAAGGATAAGAGTAAGATAGTGTGAGAAGGGCCTCAATAGTGAGTTCAGGGGACCCAGGGACGGGGGTGACCATGGGCAGGTCAGTCAAGGAATATTCAGACAGGAGTGACATGGGAGCTCAGCCTTGCAGGTTGACTATACCTTTCTTGGGCTAAAAGACAGTGAAGTCATTTCAAATCCCCACATTGTCTGAGATACTGTTTTAAATATGCCATTTCACACCTCAGGAGACCTCCCTCATTCTGTGCATTATGATATGAATTTAAACTTTCTAGCCTGACATTAAATTACACTGCATACAACCCCAGTTTGATGGATTTGGTCAAAGCATACACAATCCATCTACCTCAACCCACAGAACTAAGTTGATCATGGTTATGGTTTCCATGCCATTCTTTCCCCAAAGTGCCTTCTGCCCACTTGTTTGAATGCAGACAGTCCTCTTTACTTCAGTGCCTAAAATTGTCTGCAAGCACCAGAGTCAGCATGACCTTTCCTTCCTCGAGCTCCTGAACCTACCCGGAAAGAGCCCCTTTGACAACTGATATGCTGCCTTGGACTGAGGTGTGAGGGTCAGGCAACTCTCCCCTAGGAAAGTGTAAAGTCAGAGGCCTCAGGGCTCTACAGATAGCTCAACCCATGTATTGGGTAGTCAATAGGTGACCTTATGTTGGACCACAACAAGGGAGGTTACACCTCCTGCCCATCACTCAAATACCTCCATCAGCCGTTTTAGGGTTTTCCCACCACAGCGCACAGTGTTCTTCCAATTTCTTGAACGTTTTATAGTTCCCTGCAGCTTCAAATTCCTGGGGGGTGAACCAGTTTCCATCCTCTGTCTTTATGCACTTCACCGTGGATCCTGTAAGACCGGGGACAAGTTGATCCTGGCACCTCTTTGTCCTCAGAGCTCAGACACTGGCCTCCCACCACCCTGGATCTGAAGTCACCCAATTTGGGCTGAGGATCAATATTAGGAGAGTCTGACCTTCCCTTTTATACACCAGAATTCCCAAACCCCATCTATATATCCCCTTTAAGATTTCCTGATTTGTGCACACATATCTTTGACCTTTATGAAACAACAACAACAAAAAGTGATCATTAGCATCTGTTAAACATTATACAAGTATTCTAAAGTTACCTACAAGGAGAAGAATGTGACTTTGCATAACAAGACAATTTCAATTTGCTATTGAATTCTGGAGACAGAGAACAGGCCAGACTCTCTGGTGGCCGTGGGGCAATGTGCAGGCAGAACCTCACCGTGGACCAAGACCTCAGGTGGGAGCCCTGCTGCTCAGAATGGCACCCGGGCAACACCTGTGCCCTCCATTACAGCAGCTTCCCCATCTAAGTTTAAAGGCATTACTGAGCAGTGATTTTCCATCCCTAAAATCACAGGTAGCCAACAGTAAGTAATTGGGAAATAGTACTCAGTGGAAAACTTAAGTTATATATAATAGACAGTCATGATAACATTAGTCATTAGAAAAAGGAAAGTCAGATCCACAATGAGATACTACATTATAAGCACTGGGATGGCCATAATGAAAGACAGACAATAATAAGTGTTGGTGAGAATGTAGAGAAATTGGAGCCCCAAGACTCTGCCAGTGGGAATATAACCTGGTGCAATGCTGTGCACCAGTTTAGCATTTCTTCAGTAAGTTCAACACTGAGTACATACTCAAAAGAATTTTGAAGAATATGCTCTCAAAAATGCTTTACATGAATGTTCAAAACAACACCTTTCATATAGCCAAAGAGTGGAAAAACTCCAACAAATGGATAAATAAACAAAATATGGCACATCCAGACCATGCAATATTATGTTATTTGGCATCATGAAGGAAGAAATATAATGCATGCTACTACATGGGTGAACCATGAGAACATTATGCTGTGTGAAAGAACCAGTCACAGAAAGGCACATGTTATATGAGCTAATTGACAAGAAATGCTTAGATAAACCAGTTTATAGGTCAGAAAATAAATTAGTGGTTGCTTAGGTTTGGGCAGTGGGGTGGGGGTGGAAGTTGGCATTGACTACTGAGAGGCATTAGTTTTCCTTTAGGACGGACAAAATGTTCTAAAATAAGATTGTGATGGTGGTTGCATAATCTTTTGAACATATAGAAGATAGAAGCAAAGAAAAACCTCAACAATGAATTCTATACCCTAAGTGGGGAACTGTATTATATGTGAGTTATATCTCACCAAAGCTGTTTAAAGAAATAGTTATGATACAGACAATTATATTAGTTAGTTTTCACTATCCATTTTATGAGAAATCTGATATGAAACTCATCATAGTAGCCAATTATTGAAAAGCTTTACAGTAGTAAAATCACAAAACACTTTATATTCATTATGTAAACTAACTCTCAAAGTCACACAAGGAGGCAGGACATTATTATCCATTTCTTAGATGGGAAGTTTCAGGCTCAGGAAGGTCCCAGTCTTCACACTGTCACTCTCAGCAGAGCTGAGGCTGGGATGCAGGTTTTCTGACTCTAAACTCTGTGGTCTCCTCACTACATCTAACACCCTGTCCTGGTGGTGATTATCCAGATGGGATACAGGATGCGAATTTGGAGTCTGGGGCCTCTTCCCTGTTATATCTGATTCAAAGTAAAAAATGTAGTATTTTGAACCCTGAGACTGACATTCCTGAACTTCTCTTTGGTTCTTTGGGCATCCTCATGGGCACTTGCACGTGAGGGTGAGCACTTGCTATGCAGCACTGCTTACAGTATAAAAAATATCATCTTAGGGATCCCTTCCTTCTTTCAAGCCACAGTGGGCCTTCAATTTGACTGGAAATTCACATGGGTAATTCCATTAATTCTTGTGATTCCTTTATAAAAGTATTTCAAATTAAAGTACACCATTAAACCCACCTTCTTCCAACTTGTTCTTATATAACATGCCTTTCATCTCTCCACAGGTCACAGGAAGTATTTCAGAGTGAAAATCTACATATTCTTCTTTGTGGTTTTTTGACCCTGAAAGAGAAGTTTTTCGTTCTGTTTCATTTCACAGTTGCACATGTAAAACTTTCTTCTGTGTTGAGGTCATTTCTACAAAGTCATAAGGGTACTTAGAAAACTTTATTCCACAAATCTCCAGAGTTTCAGAGTCTTTCAGTGGTATTTTTGATACATAACCACAGAATGTCTACCTTTATTACACCTCTCAAACCCCTCCCCCCAAAATCAGAATGCATTAGCCGGGACACCAGGCATCAGTACAACTGTCTTAGCTCCCCACGTAGTCATAGCTCCCTTTTTCTTAAGTGTTGGTGACGCATGCAGCTGCTGCCCTGGCAAAGATATTTCACTTTCATTGGGCTCCTCTGCATTACCGTGGCTCTCCACATTCTGCACTGCATTCTCCCTCTTCCTTTACATGTAGCTTTATGGATTTGTGTTTGAGTTTGTTATTGTAGTAAATATTAGCTCTGCTTCTTTCCCAAGGTGGTCTTATAAATCTGGCATTGAGAAGGAGGCTGTGTCACTTGGCTGCTTCCCAGAATGACTTTGTGAAAGAGAGCCCTCCTCTCCCCTTCTAAATTCTATTGTGTTCCATATTTAAAACCTCTTTGGGTTTATTTGTCACAGCCATTAGCCTAATTAACACAACAGTAAAATACAAACTATCTTAATTTATTGCAAATTTGCATTTTACTATAAAGGATAGAGAAAAAAAATTGGAAGTGATCTTTTGTAGAAAACACTGTTCATTTGTAACCTTAAACATTTCTTTTTCTTTTTAAAATTTTTATTGGTGTTTGAGTACAATTGTTTCCATTTTCCCTCCAAGACTACATCCTACCCACCATGTGTCCATGTGTCCTTAGTTTGTGTTCCAGAAAACCCCTCCTCCTCTCCCCCTCCACTATCCCTCTCACCTCCCCTCTGGCTATTGTCAGTTTGTTCTTAATTTCAGTCTCTGGTTATATTTTGCTTGCTTGTTTGTTTTGTTGATTAGGTTCTACTTATACGTGAGATCATATGATATTTGTCTTTCATAGCCCGGTTAAATGAAATAAACCATGAACATTTCTTATTTGCTTTTACCTCTTTTGCAATGTATGTTTCCAGATGTAAGTGACTTTATTAAGTCCATATACTCCATAAAGTAAAATGGAGATAACAGTTATTTGTTTGCAACAGTCTTACAAATTCTATGACAACCCACACAGCAGATAGGGTTGTCATCTCAATGACAACTGTTGTGATCATCTCAATGCTGAGATGAGCATTTTCTTTCTTTCCTGCAACTGAACCCAGTTCTGGTGCTCAGGATCACAATGCTGGGATCCTGTCCTGCTCTCCCATTTGCTCTTCATGTGAATTTGTAAATGACCTCCAATCATTATTAACCAGTGTCCTCATCTATAATGCTCAGATAACCTATTTCCCTGTTAAGGTTTTTATGAAAACAAAATGAGCCTTTATTTACAAAAGCCCTATGAAAATCAAAATGAAAACCAATAGTTTAAGTATTATTTGGACTTAAGATGTTGGTCTGAGCCAGTTTTTCCATTAATAATTAAATATCAGCACCAGTGACTCTTTGAGGATATTTTAAGCTTGGTACTAATGATAATATTGTCCACAAATACAGAAATACTGTGCTCCTATTCTCTGTGAAATATAAAGCATGTTTGTAGAGACTAAGTATATTATTAGCAATAGTAGCTCTTTAGCATTAATAGATATGACAGTGTATAGTAAGACGACCATTTACTAGTATAGTGTATTATTACTACATTTTTAATATATCAACTGATTGGGCTCATCTAATTAAATCACAGTTTATAATGCCTCCTGCTTACTCCTATTTTCCAATAGAGTCAAAGAAGTTCCATGCTCACAATGGTGTCCCAGAAGTAATCAAATTAATGTATATGGAGAATGTCAGAGTAAAATTCATTAAGAATACAGAGCTCTGGATTTAGACTCTGGATTTTTGTTGTCCAGAAATACAATCTTAGTCTTCCCATCTGGTGCAATTCAGAATCATGAACTAGAGGCTTCTTGGGTTTCTCTTCCTCTCAATGTTATCGATCACTGCACAAAAGAATAGGACACTTCAGGTGTCTCAGTGTGTGACCAAAAAACCAATTCAGTAGGAAATTCCCTAATAGAAAGTTGGAAACATCTTGCTTGCAAAACCCATGTATATCATGGTCTGCACATCTGCCCTCTAAATCACCTGACTTTTAGGTTAGTGATGCTCCATTTACTGTCCCCAGAGCACAGACCAGTCACCAACAAGGGGGCTTCCCTGCTCGATTTGAGTCTTACCATCCTACACTTGTCTCCCTTCTACCTCTTACCCCTTCTATTGTCATCTCAGTATGTCAACAGCTCTTAACTCAGTTCAGGTTGCTGCAGCCCAAGCCTTGAGCTCCAACTTCCTTAGGAGGTTTTCTTTTCAGTGCTGAGGTGGAGGCCTGGGGGAGGGGGGACTCATCTCCATCCTCAGATTCTATGGAGGCTTCACTGATGATCACCACACAGAGGATGATCACCACTTTTAGTGTTTCAGGGTGGCACCAAGGAGCCCACAGATAGGAAACCCCTTAAAGAGGGCACTAGGAGGGCCTAGAAGCTACTGAGATTACTGTGGTCTGGGCCTAAATGTGTGTGGCCTGCAGGTTGCTCCAGGTCCTACACAGGAGGTGGTGAGATGTGGGCACAGAGGGCAGCTGTGCTCATCCTGCAGCTCTTCTTACCCCACAGTCACCCTGTCTCCTACCTTTATTCTTACTCTACCTCTTAGCCCCTACCCCCATTTTACTTCTTTCCTCCACTCTCTATTACTTCCAACTTCATTCTACCGCTTTTCACTTTTTTTTATTCAAATATATCTAAATATCTATTAAATGAGACAGATGGATCAGAAAGAAGTATACACAAAGCCTAATTTCAAAAATGGAATCAAATTATGTATTTTTAAATATTATTTGTTATTTTTTATTGAACTTATTAGGGGGATATTGTTTCACAAATCTATACCAGTTTCAAGTCTACACATCAATAAGACATCATCTGCGCACTGCATCGTGTGCCCATCACTCCAAGCAAAGTCTTGTTCTTCACTTTCTTTTTGGTTCACCCCAATTTTGCTAATTGTGCCTGTTTCTGGTGAAGGAGAAAGTATCTCCTTATATCTCTCCTTGTCTTCATGTTTAAGTTTTTTTTTTTTCATCCCCTTTCATGAATATCTTGGCTCTCTGAATTATTTCCCTTTTCTTTAACTCTTATCCCAATACCCTCCTCTCTCTAAAATCATAAATATACTCTCTGACATCAATACATAAAATTACCTTTTCTGTTGTAGATATTTTTCCAATTACTGGGGACAATTTTTTGCTGAACTTGCTGCATAAGGCACTGGTGCCCTCCCCCTCCTACCTCTAACCCAGGCCAGCACGACTGGCTCCATGGGCCCTATGATGTGTCCCAGATACCTGCCTGGTACTAAGATGCACATCACACATTATTTCAGTCAGCCTTGCCTATTATGTCAGATGCTTGGTTATAGTCAGTCCTTGCTTGGGTTTCCCATTCACCTCCTGAAGTAAAAAAATGACTTTTCCTTCTTTATAACCACTGGATCTGCACAGCAAGAATTGATTTGGTTTCCATGGTGGGGGTAGCTCTGCTCTGGACCAAATTACAATTAATGAAGAATTTCATTTGTTTCCCCAAAGGGAGTGAGGATCTTTACTGCAGTTAAACCCTTCTCCCTGGAATCCCATTGCAGAAAGAACACCCCAACCCTCACCTTTCCTGTTGGTCAACTCTGTCCTTCTTTTAACTCTGTTTTCTTTTTTTTTACTTTTGTTTCTACTTTTCAAAGGATAGGCCTATTTTTATCTAAGAGGGCTTCTGGGGCATTTTCATCACTATGGACACCTTACCTTTCAATGGTATTAAGAACAGCCCTTTGTAGCCCTGGCTGGTGTAGCTCAGTGGGTTGAGCGCAGGCTGCGAACCAAAGTGTCGCAGGTTTGATTCCCAGTCAGGGTACATGCCTGGGTTGCAGGCCATGACCCCCAGCAACCACACATTGATGTTTCTCTCTCTCTCTTTCTCCCTCTCTTCCCTCTCTAAAAAATAAATAAATAAAATCTTAGACCAGCCCTTTGTGCCTTCTATGTGGTGACTGTCTCCTCCAATCAGATAATGCCTGGTCCTCTCTCTTTCTACCTGGTCCATTCTCTATCAGTTTTTCACTCATTGTCCTTGACATATTCTTGACACAGTTCTCTTGGTGTTTCCCCATTTTTTCTACTTATTGATATTTATTTCTCTGTGTGTTTTTCTATTCATACTTATTTCTCTACATTTATTATATCACTGTGTGCCAGGGCCCAGCAGGGTCCAGGGTGAAGCAAAGTAGTCGTCTACAGCACAGGAGGTACTGAGAGTGAGATCCTCTTCACAAGCCTTTGGGTTCCTGCCTCACCCCTAGACCTGACCTTGCTGTGCCCTATGTGAACCTTCAGTTTATCCATTCTCTACAATGTTTCTTACTTTCTCCTACTGTATTTCTTAATTGTTTTTTGTGACCTGTGAATGCCCTTTCTATATCAATTTTGTCTTTATGTTTTCTCCATCTTAAGCATTCTTATCATTACTGAAGTTCTACTCTTGTGACTGTATCCACCACACTGAGTCCCTCCACCTGCCCGTTCCCCTCCACACTCATCCAACCCAAACATTCAGTCTTACCTACTGGCTCAGACACCTGGGCAATTTGTTCATTTGCTTGTTGGCTTTCTAGGGCATCGTTGTTGCCAGTGGTTGTATCAACAATCACACTTATCTCTTCTTCAGACATGTCATTTGAGAGTCCAATATCAGATGTGGCTGTACCTAGACAACATTTTGATTCATAGATATTTAATTTGTTTCCTGCATCAATCAGGGTCCAGCAGGAAAATACAATAAGAAGCTGTCTAAACTTTAGAGCAGAGGGAATTTAGTCCAGATGATTAGTTATACAGCTGATGGAAGAGCCGAGAAGCCCAAATGGAAGAATGTGGCAGCTCTCAAAATGGTCAAGAGCAAGGTATGTGAAGGACTAAGGGTGAGGTCTGTGCCAAGGTCATATCCCAAGGTCACTGGGTAGGGACAAGCTGGACTATGGCTGGCCTGCTTGGTGGGAAGTGGTGTCATGGGGAAGATGCAGCTACTGCCAGAGTTGAGGCCCGAGAAAGTGACAGCAATATATACCGGCTTCTCCCTTGCTCCCATCCTTTAATGTCTTGCTACTGTCTACCAGGTCAGGAACTCAGCTGGACGCAGTACAATGGAGCTGGCAAGCAAGTCTGCAGGGGTCTGTGGCCAGAGTTAGAGGGCAGAGCAGAGCAGGAAAAAGATAAGGAATGAATCTGAGTAAACCTCCCAGGACCTGCACACCCCCTTTCCCCACAGTGAACCTCCTCTGTGCATTATTGACTCCATTGACCCATCCCACTCTCTTCCCACCAACCCCAATTGTGTATGAATGGATAAACATTACTTTCATTGCAGCTTGGCTTTTTTTCATTTAGAACTATTTTTCTAAGCAAAGTAATTTATAAAAAATATTATTTACTAAATTAATTCTCACAATTTTAACATAGAACTTGGGCCCTGGTGCATTCTAATGCAATATCCATAGTTCTTTGGAGCCCCCTCTTGGAAGGAGGGGCACAAGACACAGCCCTTTCCGCCCCTGTGCTTGTCACAGTCAACCTTCCTAGATGAGTCAGACTCTTGGACACATTTATTGGTGGTTTGTTTGCAATATTTGGGTCACTGCTCCTTCCCCCCCCCACACCTACCCACACACCCCCACACACACACACACACACACACACACACACAGTGAAACCCTTTTCTGCCCATTACTCACCACTGTTCCTTCCTCTCACCCCTCCTGTTCCCACCAGCTCACTGGTACATAAAGTACTAAACTATGGATTGATGCATGTTGGATTTTTTATACTCTTAAACATTAACTTTTTGAGTAAACATGACTTGTGAAAAGTATAAAGGTGCTCTCAAAAATCATTCTGCAAATTTTTTAATAAAAATGTCTTATTAATTTAAAACATCCTTTCTTGAATAACACATCCCAGTGGAGGCTACATAATATGCCTTCCAGGGTGTTTTAGAGCAGCTCCAGGCCTGCAGCCCTGGAGTTGAAGGGAGAGGGTTTGCACAGATTCACATGGTGTCCGTGGTCCTGTGTAAGGGACCCAACACATGAGAGATCCTGGCCCAGGAGGAACACTCATTATCCCTACCCCACTCTTCTCACGGCAGTGCTGGCCACTGCTGGGTGTGACATCAAAGCAAGGCTGCAGCCAGTGTTAAGCGAGACAGAAGCAGAAGGCTTGTGAAACCAGGTGCACAGGCAATAGGTCCAGGCCAAGGATGGCAGGAGCTGGCAGCACATGCAGGAGGTACAGAAGAGCCAGCCCTCCCAAAAACCAGGAAAAGGAAGACTCTGTTATCTAAATCTTTGGGGAAAATGCAGATGTAAAGAATGACTATTCTGGACAATCAGCACTAAAAAGAATCAGCCCTACCCCTCACCCCCATAGCACATGCCAGAATAAGACAAGAATAGGAAATGATCATAAAATAGTTACTAGAAACACACCAGTGTAATTCAGGGAATGAGGGCCACTCCAAGGCAGGTTTGGATATGAGTTTCTGTCAGTTCCTGGTGGAAGAAAGTAGAAATTAATTTCAGAAATTGAAGTGTGAGCTGTGCTGTTTTCCTCTAGTCCCATGTAAACCTTTACAAGGTAAGACTTGATGATCCCCTCCCCCAGGTATTAATACAGGTCTCATCTGGACCTCGGGGTTCCCCTGTGACTCTAGCCATCCACTCCACTGCTGGCCTCAGCCAGGCCATCTTACTGAGATTCTTCACAAGCCACTCAGTAACTGCAGATGGCTTTTCATGTCACCCAAAGTCACCATGAACTATTGTTTTAGAGCTGCCTTTGACTGGTGCCCTTACTTTCTACAAAATCTTGTTCTCTCTTCCCCACTTCCCTTCACACCACACCATGACTCTGCATGCCTGTTTTTCTGTACTGCTGGACTTTTCATGAGATTCAGTGTCTGATTTCCTGCACTTCCTCCAGCTCCTGGTATTCTTCTTTCTGTGTTTCTTTCTACTTATGTTTCCTGTTTTTAACTCAGGCTTCTGTCTTTTCCATGAGACTATCTGGTGTGTACAGGGTTAGGAACACAGGCTCTAGGGTTCAGAATATCTAGGTTTGTGTTGCCTATTTGACCCCAAGCCAAATGCATACACAGTCTCTCTAGATTTCAGTCCTTTTTCACAAATGGGCAGATAGTGAGATTGCTCCCCAAGGGCAGGTGTGAGCACTAAGCCCACAACTGCATGAGTAAATGCTCAATAAGTAAGCTCTTAAAAATATGGTTGTTTTATTGTGTCCTTTACCTCCTTTTCCTGTCTTTCATTTCTCTTCCTTCTCTCTCTCCCTCAAATTATAACCATCTTCTCCTCCACATCTTACCACTTCCCCTCTTCTTTCCTCATATGCCTGCCTATGTCCTTGAACATTCCTGCTCTTGAACGGCATCCCCTATATTTAAATCAGTCCCATTTTCTGTCATCATCAAGGATCTCCTATGTAATGTTGACTTTGTGCCCACAGTTCCTAGTCCTCCACAGCTTCACGCTGATCTCTTACAGGATTTTTCTAAATCACAATTACTTCCAGGTCAGCATTCTTGTTAAATCTGGTTTCCTGACACTCTGGGTTCCTGTCTTGATTATTGGGCTCATGGTCTCCTGTCACAGCTACTCCTACAAGATTGACCTCTGGGCCAATGCTCACACATATACCCACCTCTGCCTTTTCCAGGTTCCTCTATAGTTCTCCCCAGATTCCCAAACCTTACTCTGGCCTCAGAGCCCACCTCCCTTTCTCCTTTCCTCTAAGCAGATGAGAATCGGTTTTTATCTGGTTGCAATCACCTTGTTCAAGGCTTAGTTGAATACCAGATCTCCCCTCATTTTCTTCTGCATCACTTTCCAGGTAATTGCTTATGTTTGATATCTCTGAGAGAAGGCAAGAGAAGAAGACAGTTAGAGATCTCCATCCAGAATAGTGACATCACCTCAAATTGCATGTTTCAGAATTTCCACGTGTGTTGTGGAGAATGTGATAATAAAACCTTTTCCCCTTCTTTAAAAGCAAGTTTGACTTTGGGTTAATTTTCTTGCTCATTACTCTGGAAACCTGATGAAGGTGGCCTCCCTCTGTGTTACTAGGCCAACACTGGGTTTAGGGTAAAAAACGAGCAGTGACAGTATATAAGGAGATTGCCTGTGACCTGGGAGGGACTAGGTATGAACTCTAAGCCATATTTGGTCTTCCTCCAATGTCATGACTCTTGTAAGTTAGCTCTTTCCTTTGGGGTTGCGGTAAGTTATGATTGTAGAGTTGTTACATGTGACACCGACTCCCATGGACATGGTGTGGCTAGGACATGGTGGATCCTCCACTCATAGCTAAGCTGTCACTCGAGGCAGGTAGTACTTGACTCGATGAACTGCTGTGTGGACCACTACAAAGGGTCTCACAGAAGAGCAGTGACTGACACCACCCTTTAGGGATGTTATTTTTCTTGTCATTTGTTCTTCCAAGTAAATCTGATGCCACTGTGTCTCTGCGTGCCCTGCGAGTCTAAATGCCTAGTTAAACAGACCACCTGGTGGGTATTATACTGTGTCCATTATGTTATAAGCTTTGAGAGGCTCATGCTATGTCTGCTTCTTAACTGCTGTAGCTCCACTGCCTAGCACAGTGTTTGACACATGGTAGGAACTCAGTATATACTTGTGGAAAAAAATTGGCCATGGACATCAAAAAGTTAGTAATAAACCTAATTACCTCTTTTGAAGATTGTGTAACTGCGACGTAAATCAGGATAGTTCTCCATGATGGTATTGCTGAACAAATCACGCAGAAGGGGCAAGTCAAATGTCTCCTGCAGTTCATTAAGAATATCATATACAGCTGCTGTTACAGGAATTCGCATAAGCTTTGCTTGATACTCCTTAAAAAATAGTGAATGGGGAAAATATAAATACAGAACAGCCCCCAGATAGTGATTTTATTGTTAATGTATGACAATTTCCCTAGATAGTATCTTCTGATGTAAAAGTTTAGAATTTGTATATGTTTGTATGACTACTAAGTGGAACAACTAAATCTGTCTCCCTAGAAAACATCTGTTTGTGAATTTAATCTCCTTATCCTCATTTATAGTAGATAGAAGGAGGAACAATTTTGTAGAACAAAAATAGGTTCATGTTAAGTGATGTGTATCCCTTGCAGAGCCCAGCCAAATGTTTTAGGAATCGATTTAGCAGGTGATGAGCTGCTCTTCCTTTGACTGGAAAACACTTGTCCCTTCCCCAGGACAGACTCAGCCTAGAAGGGCTCAGGCAAGCCAGCTGATGATCTTTCCCTTCCTGTGAACTTTGCCATAAAGTAAGCATATTCATAGGGAAAGACAAAACTTGTACTCTGCATTTATGCTTAAGTTTTTTGCTAAAATTAACAGAATTCTGATACTCCAGAAATACCAACAGAAAAGGAAAAAAATAGGAAAAAAATGTCACCAGACATTTATTCTCTGGGGATTTTAATGTTCTCAATCTAAATATTTAAATTGATATTTATTGAAATGAAATGTTGTGACAATTATTATTTCATTAAATGAAATCATTAAGCTTATTCCTCCATTCATTAAAATTACTGTTTTTCCTAATTTGTGCTATATTATATACATAAATCCTACAAGGCATTATTCATGTGTGGATCCAACCTGTCTCCAGGGCTATTCACCAAACTCTGGGGGCACCACAGGGCACTATTCCCTTCAGTTAGGAGCAGGACTGTTTCCAGTAATGCCTGTTTCTCTTCTCCCTTCTGACCTCTAGGAACACTTACAGCACTACATGAGAAGGTCCCCACTCACAGGAGACTCCTCAGTTGTCTGATTGTTCTCTGACATTTGACTTCAAATATATCAGAACAAAAACAAAGTTTAGCGCTGTGTGCCAGATTGTGACAAAGTAAACCTCACTTACGTTATATTTTTCATTAGTGATGAATTCATGGTCCCGGAGCATTTCAAAGAAAGGAAATGGTGTTTTTATTGCATTTGAAATTTCCACCTTATGCCTTTTGAAGAGCTTGCCTGCAGTCTCCTTAACACTGTTATATATGTCCTGGTCCTCTGCAGACATTCTGGAGAGAAAGGATACCATGACAAAATGGTAGAGCAATCTTTGGCTGTAGGTCCCCACTTTTCACAACTTTGAATATTTCTTGCCAATCCCTTCTAGCCTCAAAAGGTTTTTTTGAGAAATCAGCTGACAGTTTTATTAGTTACATCCCCTGGACCTAATTCAGGTGTACATTTCTGCAACACATCATCTGTACACTGTATTGTGTGTTAACCACCCTAGTCAAGCCTCTGTCCATCACCATTCATCCCCCCATAACCCACCCCCCTTCCCCTGGCATGAGTTCTTCCTCTTTTTTTTTCTTTTTTGCTCAATCCCTCCACCCTCCACCCAGCCACATACACCCAACAGTTGTAAACCTGTCCTTTATCTATTTTGCTTGTTAGTTCATAAAGTATGACTTATGATGCCAAAGAAAATGGACCTGAACAGGCAACTTAGGGAAAACTAAAATGTCCAATAAACATAAGTATTCATATAAGATAAACATCCCTTTTTGCCTACTAAATTGGCAAACACAACTTCATAAGTGACAAAGCAGCGATGGAGAAGATTCAGAGAAGCAGACGTTCATTGCTGGTATGAGCAGAAATTGCTAAAGACTTTACTGAAAACATATTGCAATAAATTCAAAGATAGAGTCCATATTGGTCCAGTAGTCACCCCACTTTGGGAACCTAGCCTATGGAAATAAAAAACACCAGTTTGCAACTTACAGAAACTAGAGTTCCAGAACTTTCAGTGGTGCCTTATTTCCCCCTCAGAAGAAAGACAAGTTCTTACAGTACTCAAGGGGCCCGAAATAGTCCAGCTCTTCTCCCCTGTCCCCTAGCTCACTTCCTCTGGCCAAACCTGCCTCTCTGCTGTTCCTTGACTACACCAGGTACACGTGAGCCCTAGAAACTTAGTGCTGTCTCCCCTGCATAGAGTGTTCTTTGTTCAGATATCCATTTAGTGAACTAACTGCCTCATCTCCTTAAGGTCCTTGTTCCATGTCACCTTCTCAATGGGACCTGCTTTGATCAATTTATTTGAAATAAAAACTTCAGCTCCTTCACCCTGACCTTATAGTCCCAATTCCTAATTTAGCTCCCTCTGTTTTCTTTTTTTTTCTACCATGTCTTAGCCCTCCCTAACATATTAAATTAATTACTTCTGTATTTTATTTAAAATTTATTTTCTTACTGTCACTCTTCCCCCTAAATATACATATGCCATTAAGACAGAGATTTTCATTTGTTTTGTCCATTGATTTTCTTGAGTACTAGACACATATATCACAAGTAAATATTTTTTATCAGATACCCTGTAGGTACAAAAGCATTTATTGAAGCATTGTTTCAATAGCAAAAACCAACAATAAAAACTTAATATGACCACCAAACCTGAAAACAATATGATTTTCCATTCATATAAATGGTTTAATATATTATAATAAATACATACTAGTGGAGTATTACATACCTATTTCCTTTTACTAATTTAGATGGAATATCATGGGGGTTTTTTTACAAAATTGATTACAAGAGTAAACATTTATTTTGAATAATAAGTTACAACAACTTATAAATTCTTAAAAATCAGGCAAATACTATAACCATAACATCTGAAAGTAACATAGATTTGTACAAGTTAGCTGCCTGAAACAACTCTCAAATAGTTCACCCTTACCTTTTTTACTTCTTTTTTTTTAATTTTATTGTTGTTCAAGTACAGTTGTCTGTGTTTTTCCCCCCATCCCTCTCTCCCACACCAGGCAGCCCTACCTCCCTCCCCCTGATTCCACCCACCCTTGGTTTTCTCCATGTGTTCCTCACCTTCAGGAACAACTGTTCCTGAAATCTCATCCCCCTCCCCCTCCCATCATCCTCTCTCATCTCCCCTCTGGTTAGAGTCAGATTGTTCTTGATTTTAATGTCTCTGGTTATATTTTGCTTGCTTGTTTGTTTTGTGGATTAGATTCCACTTAAAGGTGAGATCAAGGAGAAGATCATAGTTTTATAGATGAACAAAAACATCAAGTTCAGATTAATATATTATGGCCTCATTTTTATATAAATCAAAGTAATAAAATCTTATGGGTAAACTTTGAAACAAATGTTAGAAAATGTGTGGAATGTCACATTCAAGGCTGTTAACACTGGCTTAGTGACAAGTGTCAGGTTCCACCCAGGACCCTTCAAAACCTTCTTTCAACTTTTTTTGGCAACATCAGCAGAAATAGAAATAATAGGTCCAACATAACAAGACTTTAAGCATATTTAATACCTCACAGCTTATAAAATAATATTGTTTTTATAAAAGAACCAGGAAACATAAAATTTTAAGAATTCGGTTCTCAAATTGAAAATAAAAGTAAGGCAAAAGAATTAAATTCTTAGAAAGAATCAAACAAATGGAATGCAAGACTTGCACAGAAAAGTATAAAACATTGTACAGAAAAATTAAACGTCTAAATAAATAGAGACATTAAATATTTTAGTTTGGGAAACTCAATATTGTTTTAAATTTGTATTTACTGACTTTAGAAGGGGGGCAAGGGGAAGAGAAAGAGAGGGAGAAAAACATCCATGTGTGGTTGCCTCCTGATTGGCCCCTACTGGGGATCTGGTCTGCAACCCAGGCATGTGCCCTGACTAGGAACTGAACTGGTGATTCCTCGGTTCACAGGCCCGAGCTCAATCCACTGAGATACACCAACCAGAGCCCCCCACAGGGTTTCTTCAGTCAGAGACTTCCATATACAGAGCCACAACACAATGATGTAGGTTGCCCTGACCTGACAAATACCTGAGGTTCCACCCCTTATAAAGTAACAGGTACACTGAGACAAAAAATATGGCTCAAATGAAAGAAGAGATCAAAGCTCCAGAAAAAAATACAACTAAGCAAAGAAGAGGTAGACAACCTGTCAGATGCAGAGTTCAAAACACTGATAATCAGGATGCTCACAGAAATTGTTGAGTATAGTCACATAATAGAGGAAAAAGTGAAGGCTATGAAAAGTGAATTAAAGGTAAATGTACAGAGAACCAACAGTGAAGGGAAGGAAAGTGGAACTCAAATCAATGGTTCTTACCAGAAGGAAGCAATAAACATTCAACTAGAACAGAATAAAGTCAGAAGAATTTAAAACTACGAGGAGAGGCTTAGGAACCTATGGGACAATATTAAGTGCTCCAACATCCAAATCAGGTGGGTGCCAGAAAGAAAAAAGGAAAAGCAAGAAATTGAAAACTTATTTGTAAACATAAGGAAGAAGAACTTCCCTAATCTGGCAAAGGAAATAGACTCCCAGGAAATCCAGGAATCTGAGAGAGTCCCAAAGAAGTTGGACCCAAGGAAGCACAAAGCAAGGCACATCATAATTACATCACTCAAGATCAAAGATAAGGAGAGAATCTTAAAAGCAGCAAGAGAAAAGGAGACACACACAAAGGAGTTCCCTTAAGACTATCTGCTGATTTCTTGAAAGAAACCTTGCAAGCAAGAAGGGTCTAGAGAGAAGTATTCAGAGTCATGAAAAGCAAGGACTACCACCTAGATTACTCTATCCAGCAAAGCTATCATTTAGAATGGAAGGGCAGATAAAGTGCTTCCTAGATAAGGTCAAGTTCAAGGAGTTCATCATCACCAAGCATTATATGAAATGTTAAAGGGACTTGTCTAAGAAAAAGATGATCAAAACTATGAACAGGAAAAAATGACAGCAAATTCACAACTATCAACAGCTTAACATGAAAAAAAACAAAAACAAGAAACTAAACAAACAACTAGAACAGGAAGAGAATCACAGAAATGGAGACCACATGGAGGATTATCAGTGGGGCAGGGGAGGGAGTGCAGGGGGGAAAAGGTACAAGGAATAAGAAGCATAAATGGTAGGCACAAAATATACAGGGAAAGGTTAAGAATAGTATAGGAAAGAGAAGCCAAAGAATTTATATGTACAACCCATGGACATTAAATAAGGAGGGGTGGGAATCTGTACAGATGTGGTGTGCAGATTGGAGGCAAATAAAGTGAAAGAAAAAAATGGGACAACTGAATAACATAATCAATAAAATATACTTAAAAAATAAAGCCATAATCTGAGAAATGAGAGCAAATCAATGACCCCATCGATCAATGACTATAGGTTGCTGGTGCAGTAGGGAGAGTTTTAAAAAATCTCAATACCCTCCACTTGCATGTGCTATATCACTTTCTGCTGATAAAACCTGAAAGTTGGCAAAAGCATTTAAATGTTATTAATCATTTAGGAAATGAAAACAGTATAAGGATTTATTACTTTGGTGAAGGGGAAGGAGAAACCAGGGAGTTATCACAGAAGCCACATTTGACTTCAAGGCATTTCTTGATCCTAGAGAACCAGATCCTTGGGTTTGACAACCTTAGTATGTGAGGGACAGAAACAAAGTCCAGGCCACACAGGATGGAGAGTCCAATGGGAATCCAGATGAAATGAATGGAGGGCTTGGGCTTGTGCCCTCAGGTACCTTGATGTAGCAAAAGAAATCCTGCCCAAAGGCTCATGCCTTCACTGCAGGCCTAAATTTTACCCATAAAGTAAGTTTTTCAAGTACAATTGAGGATACAGCCAAAATCAACCAGCAAAAGGATCTCTGTGAATAAGTGTGGAGAGGAAAACATAACAAGTTTGCAAAAGAAGCCTGGCGATCACCACCTTAACCAAGTGATCAAGGTGAACAACCCTGGTGATAAGTCAGGCTGACATCTCCCCTGACAGAAGGGATGAGAAGGGCACTTCTCCTCAGGGAGTTCTTTCCTGAAACCCGTAACACCAGACTGAAAAGAATCAAGATTAACCAAAACTGAGGAATACTTAACAAAATGCCTGACTAGTACTTTCTAAACCCCAGGGTCATGAAAAACAAGGAGAAACTGAGGAACTGTCACAGACCATAGAATAGGTGACAGGATGACTGAGGGCAACGTGGTATCCTGGAGTCAATCCTGGAACTCAACAAGGACTTTAAT